TTCCTTCCTTCCTTCCTTCCTTCCTTCCTTCCTTCCTTCCTTCCTTCCTTCCTTCCTTCCTTCTAACCCACCATCCACCTGTGTATTCATCCACTCATCATCTCCTCTGTACCTGTGGTCGGGTCGTGGAGGCACCAGGTCCAGGGTGGCACCTCCAGACCTCCCTCTGTCCTGCTCCTCTTGTTGATCTCAAATTGTTTCTATGCCAGAGAGGATTTATAATCTCACCAGGGTTCTGGGTCTGGGTCTGCACCGGGGTCTCCTCCCAGTGGGACATGCCTGGGAGGTGCATAAGGAACATCCTAATCATTGACTTGATCTTATTTGCCTTTGTTTTTGGTGATGATCCAAACCTCATGACCCTAGATGATGGTTGGAACGTAGACGGATCAGAGCTTTGCCTTTTGGCTTATCTCCTCCTTCACACTGACAGACTGGAGCAACACCCTTCATAAATCTGTCAGATCATTTCCTGCTGCTTCCTGTCATCACTCACGAACAAGGGCACTCTCCTCATTTTTCCTGGTTGCCTCACCAGGAACATGAAATGGATTTTGTTGTATTTTTTTTTAGCAAAAATAGTTTAAAATTTAGGACCATTAATGTGTAAAGACTTAAATGAAACAATCAACAATGATAAAAAGCTTKTTTCCTCTTATCTTTGTCCCTCGTTTCTCTTTTTTCATCCCTGCCTCCCCCTCCCCCCCACTCGCTCAGGTACCTGTTTTTCCCTGTGTGTTATGAAATTGAAAGATGGATCGGTGTTGTTGGCATGCAGCGCAGCCTCGTGATGAATGAGAGCTGTCCAGGCAGTTAGAGGGAGGGTACAGTAGTCTATACAGCAGAGCAGAGATTGATGTTTTCACGGGGTGAGTGGGGGAAATGTCCAGGAGATGGAGGGGGTCGGAGTGTAGAAATGGAAGGAAAGAAAGATKGACGGACGATGACAACAGGAAGGCAGGATCAGGGACAAACTGCACATCGGCGTAGAGTCCCCGGACGATAAGGCTTACAGTTAAATGTCAAAAAACCCCGARCCCCTTCTGAGGCCCGCTCGCCATCAGCCGTGGCATTTTCAAACATTTATGAAAGCTAATTGGAAATTGAGTTTTACTTTGTATTATAGAAAAGTCAACAGGGAAACACCAGAGAAGGAATCCAACAATTTTATTTTCAACAAATCATCAATATGTTTGCAGCTGGGGGGTCATGAATTCTGAGTCCAGACTAGATGGGTCTGATGGACTCAGTGGAGTTTCTTTGTGAAGAAAAACAAATCCWTGTATTCAGTTCTCAGATGGTCTGTTCTTGGATCAGGATTTTGGGATGGTTCTGGCCTTGGATCAGGGTTCTGTGATGGTCTAGTCTTGGATCAGGGTTCTGTGATGGTCTAGTCTTGGATCAGGGTTCTGTGATGGTCTAGTCTTGGATCAGGGTTTTGCAATGGTCTAGTCTTGGATCAGGGTTTTGCGATGGTTCTGGTCTTGGATCAGGKTTCTGTGATGGTCTAGTCTTGGATCAGGGTTCTATGATGGTCTTGTCTTGGATCAGGGTCCTGTAATTCTCTAGTCTTGGATCAGGGTTTTACGATTAGTCTAGTCTTGGATAAGGGTTCTGTGCTGGTCTACTCTTGGATCAGGGTCCTGTGATGGTCTAGTCTTGGATCAGGGTTCTGTGATGGTCTAGTCTTGGATCAGGGTCCTGTGATTCTCTAGTCTTGGATCAGGGTCCTGTGATTATCTAGTCTTGGATCAGGGTCCTGTGATTCTCTAGTCTTGGATCAGGGTTTTACGATGGTTCTGGTCTTGGATCAGGGTTCTGTGATGGTCTAGTCTTCGATCAGGGTCCTGTGATGGTCTAGTCTTGGATCAGGGTTCTGTGATGGTCTAGTCTTCGATCAGGGTCCTGTGATGGTCTAGTCTTGGATCAGGGTTCTGTGATGGTCTAGTCTTGGATCAGGGTTCTGTGATGGTCTAGTCTTGGATCAGGGTTCTGTGATGGTCTACTCTTGGATCAGGGTTTTATGATGGCCTAGTCTTGGATCAGGGTCCTGTGATTCTCTAGTCTTAAATCAGGGTTCTTGGATCAGGGTCCTGTGATGGTCTAGTCTTGGATCAGGTTCTGTGATGGTCTAGTCTTGGATTAGGGTTCTGTGATGGTCTAGTCTTGGATCAGGGTACTGTGATGGTTCTGGTTTTGAACCAAAAATGTTTCCATGTAACAGAAAAGATCGGACAAAACATCTTAAACTCGTCCTCACTTGGTTTTCTTTAAGCCTTTATTAAAAGTATTTTATTTCTTTTTTATAATTATTTTCAGGCCTGAAATTCAGACATGAGTGGAAATTAATAGATGAAATAACAAATCATTATATTTTTTAGGATCGTACTAATGAATAAAACAAAAACATGTAACTGTAGATCAGTTGGTTCAGCGTTTCTTGTTCATTCTAACTTAAAAGACACATTCTTTTCTCTCGGTATTGCCTTTTTTTTCCATTTTCTCTGCAGCCGGTCTAATCCAGCTCTCATCCACTAACCGAGTCCCCAACATTGATTTACTTTCACCTCTCATTTATGCTCAAACACAGGCAGATAAAGAGAAAGAGGGCAGCTGGGGGAAAGAAAAGCACAAAGCCTGTTAGCGCTCGTTTCAGCCTGGTAAATTTTAGACATCTCTAATCTGTCACTGTTTCACCCCCCCTCTCCTCGCGCCCTAATCAGCCTCTGTCTGTTAATGGGACGTGTTTACTGCCCCGGCTAACACCTCATTACAGCCAAGTGATGTTTTGTCGGGAGCTGTTGGTTCTTTTGCGTCCCGGCCGGCCTTTAAACAAAGATCTCCACCGTGAGAAATGAATCGCCCACTTCCTGCTCGCTAATTAAGGAGGCGGGGCTTTAACTTTAAATCTCAGAGCAAATATGGTGCTGATTGTGACAGCTCATTTGGTGGTGTGAGCAATGGAAGGGAGCATATGATCCTTTTTTGTTTCAAATGGTCTTGAGATTCAGGATTTCTGCAAGTCTGAATTTTTATTTGGACTTYAGCCACTTTCTCTGTCCTTGTATGTGACCCTTTTTAAATGTCATTCTGTTTAGATGACTTAAGTTAGTCTCTCACTGGGCTGAGACTGTTGGAAACTAGTTGGTAAATGGCATTTGAGATGGGGTGTCCAAACGTCTCCAAACATTTTTGGGATTGTTTATTCCTTGCAAGAGTCACAGAGTCTAGCAGTGTTGTGGCTTGAAATTCAAACATCTCTAATTTGGTGTTATCACCTTCATCTCAAAACTGCCTCTAAATCATCTCAACACTGTCTAAAAAAACATCTCAGTACCGTCTCAAAACTGTCTCAAATCTTTCTCAGAACCATGTCAGTACTGTCTTAAAATCATCTCAAAACCACATCAAATTCATCTCAAAACTGCCTTTAAACTGTCTCAATACCATCTCAAAAACATCTCAAAACCACCTATAAATCATATCCGGATCTTTGCTCTGCAGAGGTTTTTTCTACAAATACCATAGTATGTCACATTTAGTGGACATAATATAGTGTTTTTTTCCCCTCATCTATCCTCTTGTGGTATTTCGTTTTCTTTTAAGGGTAAGGGTAGCGCCTCTTATGGTTGCAGGACCCAGGCACCTGTTCTCCTATGTTTGTTTGTATTTGTCTCTCTCTTGGATGGGTTGTTCTGAACTGTATTTCGTTGTGCTTAATGGTCCAATGGCAAATAAAGTAATCTGAATCTGAAATTGTCTCAAAACTGCCTCTAAACTATCTCAAAATCATCTAAAAACACACTCAAAGCGGTCTCAATACCATCTCAAAACCACTTGAAAATCATCTCAAAACTCTCAATATTATCTCTAAACCATCTGAGTATTGTCTCAAAACCTTGTCAGTATTGTCTCAAAACTCTCAAAACCGTCTCAATACTGTCTTAACACCTTCTCAAAACTCATCAATACCATCTCAAAACAGTCTCAATACTCTCAAAACAGTCTCAAAACTACATTTAAACCGTTTCAATATTGTCTCTAAACCATCTGAATATTGTCTCAAAACCTACTCAGTATTGTCTCAAAACTGTCTCAAAAATCATCAATACCATCTCAATACTGTCTCGAAATAGTCTCAAAACTGCCTTTAAACCRTCTCAATATTGTCTCAAAATTTCCTCTAAATTGTCTCAATTTAGTTTCTGTAATACTAGAGCTGTATTTCGACACTTGTATGGGAACTCTACTAACTCAGCAAACATCCAARACTAGAGCCCAGAGTGTCCAGGTCTAAAGACAACACTAATGAAAAATAATATTAAACTGTTCCAAAAATCATAACCGAGGTGACAGACCAGTGGGGACTAAGCAAGTCATTTTGGGCAAAAAAATAATGTGTGCAGCCTAAAATACACTTTTGCAAGACACGTGCCAAAAATTAGACCATGATTTTGCAATAATTGGCCACTCCAAACATGGCACACGACTCGCCCGTATGTAYGTCTCGTCTCAAAACAATTCTGAAGAAAAGTCCACAAAGACACATCCATGTTTAAGGTTCTCCACCAATCCATCTGCCAACATTCTGTTATATTTCTCACACAAATGAAACCATTGTAGCACAACCACAGAGCAACAACTGCACCTTTTTAAAACAGAACTTTAACCTACTCGCCAACTCAGCTTAGTGACTACCTCCCTTTCCAATTCAAAGGCAGAGCGGAGACAGGTTGACTCCCAGTTCAACTGGTTGGTTTATATGTCGTGTTATTTAAAAAATGACAGTAATATTGGTGAAAGYACTTTCAGGTCTGTCTTTAAAGTCTTTTATAACATTAGCTATGAAAGAAGCAATTAGCAGCTTCAGCAAAAGTCAATTATCAAACAGCAGTTTATGAAAATCAACAAAGATATTGGATTTTTGACCTTCGRCCTCCACAGAAAGATCATTACAAATGAATTCCTCTTCAAACGGATACGCTTAAAACAAACCTTCATGAATGGGAAAATAGACTCGGATGAGATTAAAAACTTGATGTTATTTAATCTGCATGTCTTTGTTTTGATGTTCCCGGAGAACCTGCTAAAAGCTCTGAACGTGATGCTGCCACACGCCTGATGGGAGGAGGGAAAGTGACGAGCTCCGTGTTGTGGTCTTCAGGGAGGGAGAGTGTTATTGAGAGATGGGGGGCTGGGGTTCTTCAGTCTTAATGGTCAGTCCGTCCCCTCAGAGACTGGCTCAAATGTCAGGTCAGCTATGAAATGACCCCCCCGTCCTCCCCCTGTCCAGTTTGCTGTCTTTATCTCCTGACTGGGAGTCTGTGTGCTGCACAAAAATAGGTCCATTTTTACCCAAATGTAATTTGAAATGTTAAGATTTATGTTTTTCTGTTCATAAAGATGTGATTTCTTTATGGGAAATATATTTTATTTCAAACAGCTTCCATGTTGCCGTGGTGGGTGTAATTTTTTATGGCTCTCCRGTGTTTTGTAGGACATACGATGAGTTAAATAGAAGTTTTACTTATGGTTTTAAGAGAAAATTGTGAGCTCAGAATAAAATGGAAGTTTATGAGAGTCTGGGTGTGTGTGCTGTGGGCAGGTTTGAGACATAAAATGAGTGACAGAAAACAGAAATACCTACATTTTGATGTGCAAACTGTTTGTGAGAGTAAGAACAGCTTGTTTACGAATGGTTTAGAAAGTTACCTGACACCCTGACCCCCAACATGCAGAAGACGAGCTGGGATCACAGTTAAAACTACGATTGTGTAAAAAACTTACGTCAGTCATGAAAAGGCCAACTGTCTGTGACTCATTTAAAAGTTGGACAATWTTTTCAGTGTCTGAGCCGCAGACACTTTTTACCTCTTGATTCAACACAACTCCCTGTTGGATGTGAGTTTGTTTCAGTATTAATAAAACCAGTGGTACGCATGGTTCTGCTAATCGGCTAACGGCTAATAGCACAARAAAWWWTTTTTATTTAGCAGATTAGCTTTTTCACTAACTTTAAAAAAACTAGTGGATCAGTTAGCTTCTGCAAAATCAGGTTTTGCCAAATTTAAGTTTGCTAACAGCTAACAAGCTAACATTACCTGATCATCATCACAACATATAATAATCTGCTGCAGTTAGACTCTATTCAGACGACAGTTTGTGAAGAGTTCAGCCCATTACTGTATAAAAGTAAGGAGAAAAAGACGTGGGACGTAAAGTGACCGCCTGCTTAGCGGTTAGCGATTTGCTGTTAGCGTTAGCRTCTACTAATTTTTCCATGTTTAGCTGTTTAGCATTAGCTTCCTCTATATATTTTTTATGTTTAACAGTTTAGCGTTAGCAAAGCTTTGTCGTCAGTTAGCAGCTTATGAGCTAGCATAGCTAGCTTTTTGATTAGCTTTGCCTGCCACTGAGTAAAACAATTTGCGTTGAGTTTAAATAATAAATTGTAACTTTGTGTTTTAAATTAAAATATTTTTATAGAGAATGTTTGAATTTGAATTAAAACCCCTGAATAGTGTTGTGTGTTGTGGTTATTCTGTTTTGCAGGTAAGGCCCTGACCTTCCTGCTGCTGCAGCCCCCCAGCCCCAAGCTGCCCGCCCACAGCACCATCCGCCGCACCGCCATCGATCTGATTGGTCGAGGCTTCACCGTCTGGGAGCCGTACATGGACGTGTCGGCGGTGCTCATGGGTCTGCTGGAGCTGTGYGCCGACGCAGAGAAGCAGCTGGCCAAGTGAGTTTCATATCGCAATTAGACGCAAAATATATCGCAATTTTATCATCGTATCGCAAAGTCAATATAAACATAAATAA